CCAAGGCGCCCCGCCACGAGAACGGCGGTGTCCCGACGGGACAGGCCAAAGACACAGGTGACCCAGAGCCCCGCATCCGAGTGACAAAATTAGCCCCGCTTCACTCGTGTCTTTCGATTGGCTCTTTCTGAACCGTGGCTCATCTTGGGCTCGTCTTTCCAAAGCCAAAAGAAAGAGGAGACTCTTGTAGCTCTTTGCCTTCATTGGCCTTTTGTTGACCTTTTGCTGACCTCGTCCTCTTATTTCGTCCCGCAGCTCACGCCGCCAAGATGGACAACGGAGCCGCGGAGAAGGTACGTGATCACCGGTCCTTGTTTAGCACTGATCTCAATGTAGTAGACGCATCCATCCTCCAATCAGAGAATGTCTTCACTTGTCTTTTTGTGGTTGCAGAAGTCCCAAACTCCTGCAAGCAAAACGCCCGCCAGAGCTCAGCCAGGTACGTCAACGGGAGCGCGACCACCCCATCATAGAAACACAGCGACTCCCCTCACGGGACTGGCATCCGGTCTACGTTTCAGATGCTGCAAGCGGCCAGAGCAGTCCCGGCACGCCCAAGTCTCCCTCCAGCCAAGCACTCGGAGGCAAGTCGGCAGGCGACGCCCACAAGGTGAGGAAGGTGGCGGTGGTGCGGAGTTCCCCGAAGTCACCCGGTTCCCTGAAGACCGCCGCCCCTCTGGCCTCCGCCCCACCCATGCCTGACCTCAAGACGGTCAAGTCCAAGATCGGATCCACTGGGAACCTCAAGCACCAGCCGGGCGGCGGCAAGGTAAGCGTGCCGAGCGGCGGAAGGATGGCTTCGGACGACGGTGGGGGACGGCGTTGGTATTTTTGGGGTGACCCGGAGGCGCTCCTTCTTGCGTAGGTGCAGATCCTGGACCAGAAGGTGGACTACAGCAACGTCCAGTCTAAGTGCGGCTCCAAAGCCAACATCAAACACGTGCCCGGTGGCGGCAATGTGAGTCGGGCGAGCTTATCCGCCTTGCCGCTTATTGGCTGGCGCTACGTCGTTGTTGGGGCGTTGCACTTTGCTTTCAATGTGCTTCCTTCTTGTTCTTATTCAGGTTCAAATCCTGGACAAGAAAATGGACCTGTCGGCCGTCCAATCCCGCTGCGGCTCCAAAGACAACCTCAAGCACACGCCAGGCGGCGGGAAGGTGAGGCGGCCGTGTTAGTAGCACGCCCCCCGGTGGAGGCAACGTACGGACGAACGCTCGCGTTCGTAGGACTTGGGTGTGCGTGGTGACTTCAAGGGTGCAGGGATGGGGGCGGGGCTTTGTCCAGGCACGTTGGCCGTTTCGTGCGTGGTAACTGGCATCTCTGCCCGTGTTGACTTCCAGGTTGAGATTGTGGACAAGAAGTTGGACTTGAGCAACGTGCGCTCCCGCTGCGGTTCCAAAGATAATATTAAACATGTCCCCGGTGGAGGCAATGTGAGTAGCTCACTGCTGATTGGCTGCTGGACAGCCCAAGACCCTCCCCCTTCCTTCTCAAGGAGCAACCCCACACCAATCCTTACTCCCCCCCCCCCACCTGAGCGCTACCGGCTGCACTTTTGACACGAGTAGGCGCGTTCCTGAAGGGTTCCCTTTTGTGTCTGTCATGTGCCGTTCTCGTGGCAACGCAAAATCCATCATTTGGTGTGACGGACGTCTCTCAAAGCAGCTGGGAAATGTGAACGTTCCAAAGAGATGGGCGGGGTGGGGCGGGGGCGGCCTTCCGGGCACCGCGGGCGTTCCGTGTTTTGCGCGTCAAGGACTTGAAGGTTGGCCTCTGTTCTCCCGTCAGGTCCAAATTGTCCACAAAAAAGTGGACCTGAGCAGCGTTTCGTCCAAGTGCGGCTCCAAAGATAACATCCGCCACAAACCAGGTGAGGGCACGTGCGCGGACGCTCTCAAGCGAGTCCGTCCCACAATCGTCTGATGGTTGCGGACGTTGTGTCCTCCAGGCGGCGGCAACGTGGAGATCAAAAACGAGAAGCTGGAGTTCAGAGTTCAGTCCAAGGTGGGCTCACTTGGCAACATCAGTCACGTGCCAGGAGGCGGCCAGAAAAAGGTAAACAGCAACAAAACAACCAACTAACTCAATTTCTCTGCGTGCCGCAAAACTCATTTGCTTTATTGCTTTTCTTGGCTGGAGGGAAGAACGCGAAACGTTTTTTTCAACCGTAAAATAATATCATGGTAGGCTAATAAAAATGACATGAGGGCTTGTTGATGAGCCGCTGTCTGTCGCGTCCTCCTTGCGCTTTTCTTGCCCCTCATGTACTCCTCATTATTATCCGCATTATTATTCTCATGATGATTGTGATTTTTTTTCAGCCTGCGCTTTATTTGGTTTCTGTTGACGCCATCCCGTTTACTTTTGTTGCATGCGTCACCCTTCCCTGCTCAACCCCGCCTGCCCTCTTACCCTTCCCTACACCCGGCGTAGCGAGCGAAGGGGAAGAAAGGCGGGCCGAGCCCCTCGGACGGCCCCTCCCCCGCCGCCACCCCCCCTCACTCTCCTCAGACTGTCTCGCACGCGCCCGCCAAGATGGAGGACGCCAGTAAGTACCAGTGCGTCATCATCATCATCCTCATCCTCATCATCTCCCTTCACGCAGGCACTTGAAGTGGAGGAACTATCTAGGTCAGGCCGATCATTTGAATCGGGAGTGTTGGAGCAGGAAGACATCAAAAACAGGCCGGCGCCGTCACTGACGAGCGCCCGCATTTGTACGTTTGCGTCCGCGCAGATCGAGAGCCACAAGCTGAACTTCCGTGAGGGCGCCAGGGCGCGCACGGACCACGGCGCCGAGATCATCTCCCTGGAGGACTCGCCCACTCAAGAGCTCAGCACCGTGTCGTCGTCCGGCAGCCTCAACATGGCCGAGCCGCCCCAGCTGTCCACGTTGGCCGACCGGGTCAGCGCCTCGCTGGCCCGGCAGGGACTGTGAGCCGCGGCCATTCCCTCCATCGACACCCTCCCCACCCCCTACCCCGCTCATCCCGCTGCGTCGCCCTACACGTCCTTTTTCTCACCGGACTTTTTGTAACCGCCGTCATGTTTCGACAGTAATTCATTCAATGAGAGCAGGGGTGTCAAACGCATTTGAGCTGGCGGGCCACATTCACCCCAATCTGATCTCAAATGGATCGGGAAAGGACATTTAGAAGTGAGACATAAAGTCCAAATCTTATATTGCAAGTAGACAAAAAAAAGCCTTACTGAAGCTGTTGACGGCTCTTCAGATATTTCTAAGGAGGGTTTCCTTTTCATATAAATGCGGCCCCTTTTTGCTATGAGGTGGGCTTTCTTTGCTGGCCAAACTTCGCCGGGGCATCCTTCAGGAGCAGGCGTCAAATCCTACTGGACAGCCCAGTTCACAATGTCATTTCAGTGGTTACCAATGCGCCCTCTAGCGGGCGAAATTAGCAACTGTCATTACTTTGAAAAACGGCAGTGTGAAGGTGTTCTCTTTCTCCACATATCCCGATCGGACCTCCGTCAGGCCCGCGGGCCTTATACGTTTGAAACCCCTGCATTAGAGCCTTTCCCCCTTGGGTGTTTTCAATGGAAAGTTCCGCATTCCATTGCGGGTGCTACAGGGTTGCCATGACTGCTGACGCTGCGTTCAAGTCAGTTTAGCTTCTTCCTTTGTGGCCATTTTGATTGAGGCTTTCCGCTCTCCCGCTCATCACTTCCTTGACCTCGTTTGAGATAAAAAAAAATGTTGCTGAGGCGCCGTCGCCGTGCGGTCAGTCAGTCACTCTTCCGTTGCGTTGGCTTTGTGCGCGGGGATGGGGGACGGGGATGCTTTTGAAATGTCAGTTGCCAAATGAGGGACGGCAAGTGTATGATGAGCCAGCCTTTCAAAGCAGTATTGTCGCTGAGTCGAAAGAACCAAGCGAGTGGACTCCCGGTGCCGCCGTTCCGTTGTCGATGTCCGCGTATTTTTAGCTTCATGATTTGGCGGGTGTGCAAAGTCAAGTTTTGTGTGTCGTATGTCTGTGTAGGTTAGTTGATTGACAGTCATGGATCTTTCTAAAGTTTATAGCCAATGATGCTAAGACATCACTTCCTGCATGAAGCGCCAAATGGAAGCGAAGCAGAGCGAGTGCCGTTTGTTTTCTTTCTTCAACCCTAAACCTTCAATCTTGATTTTGTCGATGTCCGCGTATTTTTAGCTTCATGATTTGGCGGGTGTGCAAAGTCAAGTTTTGTGTGTCGTATGTCTGTGTAGGTTAGTTGATTGACAGTCATGGATCTTTCTAAAGTTTATAGCCAATGATGCTAAGACATCACTTCCTGCATGAAGCGCCAAATGGAAGCGAAGCAGAGCGAGTGCCGTTTGTTTTTTTCACCCTACACGAACCTGCTGGATTTGATGCGTGTGCATATGCAGGGTAATGCCATTTTGGTCCACCACGTGTCATGTTTTCATACCAGAGCAGAGGTGCATGCCAACTTCGTCGAATGTGTCCCTTGAAGACGACAAAGACGAAGAACTCCATGAGCCAGTTTCCATAGTAACCCACTCACGCTGTACAGTGGTGCAAATGTGATCGTTGTTGTGCATTTAATGTATGTTTGTGTTTGACAATAAACGCTGACCAGTCACCCAAGTCTCGACGTATACTTAGAATTACTGATGACATCGTACTGATGAAATCAATCACCCAGCCTACAGTCAAGTCAGGGGTGGTTCGGGGCTCCAAGTTACACCAGGCGCCAGCGCGCTAACAGAAATAGAACTTGATTTGATTTCACTCACCCATGGGACAAAGTGTTGCCAGGAACGTCGGTCCGTCCATCCGTTGGCTGGAGGGCAGGTGAAACGCCACTTTCAAAAGGACGCAGCTCCAATTAAGTGAGATTTTGTCACACACGAAAACTGACAAAAAGATGGTCCTAAAGTAGGTCAAAAAAAGTGCGTGGGGCGGGGGGTCCATCAATTGAACCCCCCCAAAAAAAATCTTGGGCAAAATGTTTCGTGAGGCAATGTCAAGCACAATTGTGCGCAATCCAAACATTTCCAGTAACCGCCCACTTTTCGGTCTGTTGTCGCCCTCTTCTGGTATAAAGTTGACAATGCAGTCAGCTTTTCAGGGGGAAAAATGTTGGCAGTTTTGGCACGAGGCTGATGGATCCCATTCATTTTTTTTTTAAATAACCCTGGCAGTGGTTGGGAAAGAAGGTCTAGCATAGTCAGATTAGGACGCCCAAAAAAAAAAAAATGTTGGTTCCACAGTTCGCCCACTTCTCCCCCAACCAGGCTCTGAGGTGCAATCAACTACCTTCCAGAGGCACAGAGTGGTAGCGGAAGCACTTGGGCTTCAGTCAAGCTGTTGCCGAGTGTTGGCGTGGGTGTCCACGTGCCTCAAAATGGATTTTTGATACCTTGGCCGCTCGCTTGTTTTTCACACTCAGAAGCAGCAAGCGGACAGGCGGCAGGCCACACGAGATCCGGTCTACAGTTGCCGTGGTAACAAAAGCCAGCAGCGCCATGATCCCAAGAGGACACAGGCCGACACCTGGGGACTCTTTCAAATAGTTAAAAAAAAATAGTAAAAATATTACAACGCTCTCAGCTTCCACAAATTCCCCAAAACCTGATGAAGAGGGCGTCCAAGTTAAACATAAATGTTTTAATGGAACTATTTACAAAAAGCAAACAATAGTGATAACTGCTGCAACAATCAAACAGGTACATCAACATGTGACGTCACTACTGAAGAGAGAAGAACAGTGATTGGCTGAGGCAAAAGCAAACTATGAATTTTTTTTTTTTTGACTTTTCGTTTTGCATAGTCAAGAGTTGACAGACGGGAGGAACCCACGTGAGATGGAACAGCGAGAGCCTGAATAATCTGAGCCCCGCTACACAAGTGTTAGTAGCGCCTCCTAGGACAAGTGCGGCCCCCCCGGAGAGGGGGGAGGGAAGGGGGGGGGGTGGTGGTGGCTGGGGGCCTACAGTAGGAATGGTTCACAAGTCAAAGACAACGTTACGCTGGAACACGCGACATACGAACATGTCGGGAATGGAAAACGAAAGCAACCAAAGTCAACAAGTGCTCTGCTCTGAGGGTGGAGGGGCTGCATCCTAAATGTACCTGTTTATTTTGATGGGGGAGGGGCAGACTTTTCCCCATCTTTTCTCGTGAGTCACTCCACTACAATGTACATGGGAATTACAAACAAACTAAAGGATAGAAAAACACCCTTTGGCCATAGTGGAGGAGTCGCTACATCGTGCGCTACAAGTGTACACGCCACGTATCAAAACAACGCTAAGCCCCCCCACTCCCCCAAGTCCATGTACATGTTTCGCCTACTACACAAATCAGACTTGTAACATGTCGCGTCTATCTGCGTCGGATTCACTAAAAACTGTGAAAGGATTAGACTGATGTTTGAATATCAAACAACAGGAAGCGCACAAGTCCGCTCACAGTCGCCTGGGCCCGGCGGCGGGCGCAGCGTCGTCGTCGTCATCTTCGTCGTCGTCGTGGCAACAAGACGGCTCGCCATCGTCCGAGTCGGGCCGGCCGAAGGCGCGGCATCCCGACAGGCTTCGCATTCTGGGCCTGGCGCGCTCGCCGTCCGCCTCGGGCTCCGGCGCCGGGTCTTCGGCCAGTGGGAAATTGCGCCGCTCCCATGGCGCCACCGTCTGGAAAAGAGGAGAAAAAAAGCCTTCAGCCCTCAAATTACAGCAGTAGCTGATGCATGTGTGCCAGCAGGTTAAGATTCACGCGTGACACGAGAAGGACGGTGCGAGAGAAGCCTGAGGAGGCAACGCAAGGTGGCGTTGGTCGTACCCTCTCCTCAAAGGCGAAGTCGGGCGTGGAACATCGGGTATCCTCGCTGGACATGAGGCGGTGCGAGTCGCGCGAGCAGGGCGTGTCGGGGCTGGGGGGGCTGAGGGGCGAGGGCATGTAGCCGTAGTCGTGTAGCGCGGGGTAGTGGCTGGGCTCGGGGGACGCCGGCTGAGGGGTCGGGGGGTTGGTGCCGCCCAACAGCGGCGTGGTGCGCCCGTCCACCGACTTGTACGACCTGACGGAGAGAAAAAAAAAAAGAGGGGGGCGGGGGTGTTACACCAGGTGCGTGGTCGTTCCCACCGAGCAAAGTGTCGGCGACACGCCGGCCTGACCTGCTGCCCCTCCGCTTGGCCGGCGCCAACGCCATCCAAGTCCAGCGGGAACGCTCCTGGTCCTCATACGGCTGGTGCAGCTGAACAAAGGCCGCGTCCGACAAGTCCTCCACCTACAAACAAAAGCGCACACACGCGCATGTCAGCCTCCAAATGTCACCGTCCTGCCGTTTTGACAGCGATTTGTTCTCCGTCCGTCCCCGTCGGGGTCAAAAATCAAGTGGGGGGGGAAAGCCAGCCACTCACCTCGCGCTCATTCTCTTCCGGCACCGTCGGCTGCGACAGGACATCCACGGCTCGCCAGCTGCACGCACAAATCAGCCGGGTGAGCGGATGAGGCGGTCAGCGGGTGGCGAGCAAGCGGGCGGGAGCTTACCTGGGCGTGAGGATCTCTTTATACTGCAGCTTCTCCACTCGCGTGGTGGCGGCCACTGACATGGGAATCACGATGTTGTTGATGTCGAAGGAGCTTTCGCCGCGCCTCCTCTTGATGGGCTGCAGCTGGAGCGCACACGCATACACACGGCAAACAGTCACGGCGCTCGACCCCCCCCCCGCATGTCTGATGTTCGTTGATCTTACAGGTGTGCCGGCGGCGCCCAGCGGCGCGGCGTTGTCCGAGCATGTGGACAGCTGTCGTGCGACGGGGCTGTGGACGCCGGCCAGCGCCGGGCAAGGGGCCGCGCCGCCGCCCGACTCCAGGAAGAATTTCGGAGACGCTGCGGAACACGCGGACACGTTGAAGCACAAGATGGAACAATTCCGCTAAAGGCCCTGCTCAGTTTCCGGGGGGAAATTCAGCCAGGGGCATTTGGCAAATATTCCAAGCTGGCAACTTCAGGGGAATTTCTGGAAATTGAGGCTAGTTTGAACGGAAAGGTATCGCATTCACAGATAGATTTCAGCCTCTCATCAGTAATTCTTCTCCCATTTCCGTTTCTCTCTCTACAAATATCCGCTTCCACTTTGGAACGCAAACAACTTGGGCAGGGCCGAGCGGGCTCCCCATTACTCACAGTCGCTCCTGTCCAACGAGGGCTCTCGTAATCTCTTCCGGCTGTAGTTTTTGTCGTAGGGTCCGGGAGGCGCCGACGCACTGTGCAGTCGCTCCGTCTTGCAGGCGGCGGCCTCCGGCGTCCTCGATTTGTCGGCTCGACTCTTGTAATGGCTCAGCCCTGAAAAGTGCAAAGTGCGATTCATCCATGCGTGAATTATTTCGCAGTCTGTTGCTGTTTTTCTTGTGCGGCCAGTAATCTTTTTATTTTTTTTGCTTGTGCAAAGCACGCATCTTTACCGATGCGCAGTGCTTATACCAACAATTTGCTTGGGAACAAGTTGACAGTGTTCACGACGTCGCCACTCTTCTGACCGCGGTTTGTTTGGTACCAGAAGAAATTACGGGAGTGCTTTCGAGAAGGGCAAGAGATGAAACGGACTAAACTCGAACATGATATTTTGATTCACGACAAGTATTCTTATCAGAGTGAGAATCCCCGTGCGATGGCGGCGCACACTCACTGACTGCCATGAGCGAGCTGGCGAACTTGTGCTTCTCTTTGGATGACGACAGCTTGTGTTTGAGCGAGAACTTCTTGACGGGCTTGCTCCTCTCCAGCAACCGGCCGCTCCAGCAGCTCTTCATGGCCTGCTGCACGCGAAGGCCCACGCCCACATCTGTAACCCCCCAAAAAAATTAAAAAAAATCAAGATTCCAAAAAGAGAAAGAATCTCACACACCGCAAAACAAATTCTCCCCCGACAAAAGACCAACGGCAATCTGAAGCAAAAGCCGTGGAGACCGACCGTCTGGGAAGGACAGGATGGGGTGGACACCGAGATCCAGTCTGGACAGGCGCTCCAGGACGGGCAAGTGGAACTGGGGGTCCTCTCGGGGGACGGGCCGGCCGCCGCACATCACGCAGCTGGGGTTGACTCGGCACGCGCAGCCGCTCCGAGACGCCTGCGCGGATGACAACGCACGTCGCACATCAACAAGCCCTCCGGGAGCAAACGCTTGGCCGCGGGCTGAACGAAAACATTAGCACGCCAACGTTGCAAAGCTTCAGTTTGCCCCTGCCTTCAGCTGGGACGCCAATTTGTCCCGTGACGAATCCCGCGACGCTCGTATCGCTAATCATTTTACCCCATCGCAACAAGCGTTGAAAAACAATCCAACGGTGAGCCGGCGTGGTTACCTTTCCCGTCAGGTTGGCCACCGTGTTGGGCTGGATGAGCCTCCGCCGCCTCCAGCCAATCAGAGGTCGCGTACGCGCCGCCACGCACGTGCCGTCTGTCGTCTGCTGGTGCTTGCCGTCCACGCTTTCGCCCACCCTGCCACCACCACATTTCCGCCATAGTCATCATCATCATCACCACCACCATTATCTTCATCATCGCCAGTACCTGCTGAGGACGCCGTTGACCGGCTGCCCGTTTTGAGCGTTCCAAGGTTCTGCGGTGACGACGTGTTCCGCACACTCTGAAGACGATTCCTGCAGCCACAACCGTTCGAATAATCACACACACACACGCTTCCTTGCATGAGACTAGTTTGAGTGTGTATAAGCAAACGAATCGAAACAAACCGCTTCATCTAGGAGGAGTCAACCAAACCCGTCAAACTGAAGCCGCAAGCATTCATGACGGTGGCTTGGCGGTTCCAAATAATTATCAGGCTCGCTCTACTCTTATCTCATAATTGCTATCACTTTTTACGCACACACACATAGTAATACACATCTGCACACATTTTTTTTTCCTCTTGTAGTTTCATGTTAGCGTTGCCCTTTGACACAGTTCTCCAATCAGGCTGCATCTTGGTGGTCAAAAGTCAAGACAAAAAGCATCCAGCTCAATATCGAAGTCTTCGTTTATTGCACGTCTTTGAGACATGAACTAAAAATAAAATTAAAAAAACAATGTGGTAATATTACCTGAGAGTTGGCAGGCTCCATCTTGGCTTCTTGAGGCCCGACACCTCCCAGCTCCACAGTGCCCTGCAGAGGAGACGGCAAGAAAACGCGACGGCGTGCTCTTGAGCAACTCGAAAACACGTACGGTACCCTGCCAAAAGTTTGACGGATCGAATTTTGAGTTCCAAGTTCAGGATGAAGCAAGAATGCGCGATAAACTCTCTACATGAATCATTTGATTTCACTGTCCAACAGTTCAACGTTGCCCTACTTTCCACAAAACGGAGGGCACACCCGAAGGAGGGGGTGGGTTTTTTTTTTTATGTGGCGTAAAAGGCAATTTAGTGCATTTCCCATCGATTGGAGAATGCGGTGGCAAGGGTGCGACTGACCTTGCTGGCGCGGATCTGCCTGAAGATGTCCGTCTGCTGTCGGATGCGGTACTCCAAGTCGGAGATGTGAGCCTGCAGCCAGTTCCAGTGACTGATGATGGCCGCCCTCTCCAGCGTGTAGCGACTCTCGGCGCGCTTCCATCTGGCACGCGCACACAAAACACGCATGAAGGTCATCCTCGCGGAGGACGGCGAGCGCCTCCACCTTGTTTCGGGCCGCCCGCTGCTCGCCAACGTCGGACGTGGGAACTGTTGCGCAATTGTGGCCAACAGGCAGCTCGGTAGCTTCATGCTAACACGAAATAGCAGCTATGTTGCTGTGCTCAATCAATCGACTGAACACAAAGGGTGCAGCAACCCATGTAGACAATGGTAGTACTCAGATATATATATTCATGGTCCCGTGCAGAAACCAACCGTTAGTGCCGTACTGATGAGGTGAGACGTCTCAATGAACAGTGCAGTCATGTCTTATATTGCCCCCAGGTGACTCAGGAGGGCACACCCGAAGGAGGGGGCGTTTAAATTGATGCAATGTGACAACAGGGGTTTAAAGCTACACCGTGTAAGCCACTACACTGGTGCTAGATGACAATAATGAAGCCCATCAGCCCCTCCAACATTTTGCTGGGTTTTGGACCTTCCCACAGGCTGCATTCGCTACGACCTTGCCGAAACGACCTCTTTTGGCTCGCAATGGGTTTCTTGACTTCCATTTGTAAAAAGCTACCCCAATACTGTGCATTTCTGAAGCGGAAAACAATGAGCTCGTCCGAAAAAATCCGTCTCCCGCAGGGTGTGCTTCAAAACAGCTGCGCCTCTCGTTTGACTGCACAATTCCAGCCTATGGGCGACGCAAGATACGAGTCTTGACTTCTGAGCACAGTCACGGAACAAATTCAACTCTTATCTCTACGGGTCACCGCAGGTGCAATACAAACAACACGAGCGATGAATCAACGAGTGGAGCCTTATTTTCTGACCTTGGCCATTTTTTAAGTTAAAATTTGGCAGACTTGTTAATCTTTTCGCTGTGGCATGTCAAATTCACAGGATTGGGTTTTTTTTCCGTGTTCTGTGCCTTCTTTAGAGCTCACCTTCCATATGGTAAATCCTCGCTTCATTCCCTCGAATTCGCATGGAAAGTTTCCAGGTTTGAAAAGGCCCCCCGAACGTTACAATTCCAACGGTGTGAAATATAAACAGCGCTCTCCCGGTATGCGAACTGAATTGTGCGCGCAAGCAGCGGAGGCCGACTATGGCGGGCAGCCCGACAGGGTGTGGGCAGGAAAGAACTGCAGCAGTCATGACATAAAAAAAAAAAAGGAGGGCGCGGGGTGGAGTTACATAACAAGTGTGGCTTGCTCGGTGTTGACAAACTGACAAGTCAGCCCAACGCATCCAGATGTTTCCAACAAGCTCTGGCGTGAGCATGGCACAACCAAATAAACAAGCAGATCGTCACGGCACTCTTACTTTTATCCTCCCCGCTTTTTTTTTTTTTATATTTCCAAGGTTTGCTTCCTGAATGCGACAACCATTCGTTCCCAACAAGCTACTTGTCACTGACAAAGAGGGGAGGGAAAAAAAAAATACTACAACAAAGCGACAGTGTCTGTCAACACGCAAGAAAGGAGACAGGAAAGGCAAGTGGGTGACACACCTTGCCTGTCTCCGTGTCATATGCTGCAGCTGCTTGCGGTCAGGGTCTCAGACGTGCATGAACAACTCGCAATTGATGCGTCTGAATTTCCTACTCAGTCAATTGGAAATCTCCTGCTTTTGAATCAAGGCGTGGAAATGCAGAAATGCTTCAAGCTCTGAATCATTAAAAACAAGAATTCAAGCTTTGTTGCCTCCTTGGTTAATAATGGACTCCTACAGTGGACTGAGTGCCCTTTGCTGCAGTCCAAGCGAGGGGAAGTTCCTGTCAAATAGTGCTCCTGGCGCGCGCTGGCTGACGTCACGGCGGGCGAGCGTTTCTTCCTGCACTCAGACATGTTCGCGCCGCTGATAAACAACTTGCGCTTTTCCGTTATGTTCCCACCCAACTGCACTTGCCCCCCCGTTGGCTGTCCAATCACTATTCACATCCTCTGTGATTACCTTCTGTGATATTGTGGCTCTTGAAGCAAATTCTTTTGGAGGTTTGTTTGTTTTTAACAGCAGACAACTGCGCATCTTGAGTTTTGCGCCTACAACGCAGCACCACATTGCGCCAACATGCCGGGCAGCGCGCAGCTCGACAGGAAGACGTGCAACATGGCAGGCAGAGTAGGCCCCCAACAAAGCTGCTCTGTGTGTACACGCTGCTACCTTTGTGTGTATTAAAGTAGCAGTTGATTAAAGGTTCACAATTACTGTCATGTCGATGTCAATTCGCATCAGACATTTGGCATGATGATGGCGTGATGCTCTCCTGAGTTGAAATGTTCTGCTCCGGTTGAACAATTTGCTGTTGAAATGTAGCTGAGCTGATGTGCCAAACCATGCGCTGCGTTTATAAAACACTTGACAGATGAAATGATGATTAAAATAATCGATAGTTGCAGCCCTTGGTCCGCGTTTTGTCAGTGATTCGGCCGTGTTTGAACAACTCGCAATGTTTAAAGCATGTTGGAGGGGCAAAACTGCAACCCCCCAAAACGGCGTATTGCTCGTGCGGGTGTAACGTACGGCCCGCGGCAGAGTGTGACGGGCCGCGTGAATCGACAGCGCAACTCACATTTTGACATGGCGCTGCTCCACGTCCACCCTGGTGAGCTCCTCCTCCTCCAAGTCCGAGTCGCCGCCGGAACTGCTCTCCGTCACGTCCGAGTCGAAGGCTTTCTCCACCGAGCGCAGGTTGGCCGAACCGCTCAGGTACAACCGCTCCAGTTCCAGCGGCACCGAGCCGCTCTTCAGGAAGCGGGCCAGGCTGTCTCTGTTGCTCGCCGCCGAGTGGCGTCCCGTCCTCCACGGCGCCGAGCCGGAGGCCGAGGCGGCGGCGTGGTCCTTGCGGCCGCCGGCCAGCAGGCGACTGACGGCGGAGTCCAAGAAGCTGCCCAGCTGCTGCTGAACGTGGCGCTCCACCTGCTTGGCCTGGACCACCTGCAGGCGCTTCCGCAGCCGTCGCAGGCGGCCTTCGATTTCCGCCTGCCGGGTGCCGTTGAGGCGCGCGCGCTCCCCCACTTGAACGTCCGGCGTGTCCGAAGGGGAAGCGCGGGACGGGGAGCCGCGCCGGCTGCAGCCCGGCCTCTCCCGGTCCGACGGCTCGGGACTTGGGCCGCCGCGCTCCGAATCCACTTCTTGGCTGGGGCTGTGGTTGTCATTGGAAAAGGGCGACGGCGCCGACGGTTGCGCGTTTGGACAAATTCCCGGAGAACGCTTGCGGTTAAGGGTTCCTTTGACGGCAAGGTGAGCCGGCCGGCCGTCGGCGTCCAACGTGTGCGACTGCGCGGGGACCGGAGGGTTATCCCCGTTGACGGCCGCCATCACGCAGCCGGAACCGGACACGGCGGCCAGTTTCTTGGCCAGGCCGTTGACGGGCGCCACGGGCTGGCCCCCGCCGTTGGCGCTGCCGCTCATCAGGCTTTTGAGCTGGCCTCCGGAAAGTTCAATGGTGTGCCGCTTCCTCAACAGGAAGTCTCCGCCGTTGAGCAGCGAGCCGGGCAGGATTCTGTGACTTTTCAAGACCGACTGTTTGATGAGGACCCCTTGCAGCGTGATGGACTCTTTGGTTGAGGGCACGGGGGTCACATCAGAGCAAAGGTAGGATGCCACCAGGGGCTGGAGTTTACTCAGGGAGTCCCCTTGGGGCGGCGGCTTTTGCTGCTGATCGTCGAGGGGACACGCGTCTTCGGGGGCCACCTTACACTTGGGGGGGCCGCCGGCGTGGATGAGGATGTTGCTGGCGTTGGCGTGGTTGTCGGCGCTGGCCGGTGACAAACTCGATGACGGCGCGGCCAGTTTGAAGCGGATGTGGTGAGCTTCGGCTGGGGCGTCGGTGAGAGCGGGCGCCATCGCAGCCATGCAGTGCAGAGGGACGGGCACGGCGGCCTGCTCCACACCCCCCGCTTACTGCCCCCCCGGAGGACAGCCTGGGTACGAGAGAGGAGGTGCACACAGTTGGTACGAGAGCGCTTTACTTTCGGTCGCAACATGGATACAAACATTCAAATTGGTCTCTTATGTACAGCAACCGTCATTTCGAAGGAGCCGGACTCTGGATTGCTTCCCAGCAACTTGAAGTGCAGCTAAACCGGATTGATTTTTGGTGCACTGTATGCGCCTGTCCAAGTCGACACGCGGCATTTCCGATAAATGTCACGATGATGGAATAAGAATTCAATTGGATGATTCATCGATGGACGTCACGCAGGGGCCATTGGACCGTGCGTACTTCAACTTCTTGATGAAGGCCAGGCCCGCAAACAGAAATCCTGCCGGGATATGTTCGTGGGCGAGATGGTTTTCAACTTTTTTGGTGAAGAATAAATGTCCCACCAAAGAAGATATGCACATTGAGAATGTAAAGAAGGGTTGGACAGCTTAGGTTTAGTTCCCCTTTGAGGGTGGAGGCTGACCTCAACATCAAAATGTGACTGGAATGACGATCAAGGCCAGGAGTACCCCGACTATGGCCCGGGGGCCATTTGCAGCCCACTGTCCATTATTCGGCAGCCTGCTGCATTTACTACAACGGATATTTGTTGACAGGGGCGGCGATGTTCGTTAAAATAAAAAAATGGGTAGAGGTAGGTGTGATAAGTGATTGTCACCCCATCACCCCAAAAATAAACAAACAGTTGGGGGACTGCTGTAACACCACTACTACAAATAGTATACAAATACTTTTCTAAAGATGCTAAATAAAACAAGTAAAACGGTAACAAAATGCCTCTGGTGAACAAATCCAACTTGTTTTTTGAAGCAATAATGATTTCCTCCACTTGCGGCTGTGCATCAAGGTCCGATTTATTTATTGTTTTAACATCGCCGGCATCTGGCCCAAACCTTTCAAAACCAAACTTGGTCACCTTCATACTTATTCACAAATCTGTATTTTTTGGGCAGTCCTCACAGGGCTATGTAATTGTATTTATTTAATCAATTAATTTATTTTTTATTTAATTAGGTGTATGCTACTTTATTTTAGTCTTTATATTACAACTCATTGCAACGTGTTGAAAAAGGCTTTCATGACGCAACGCTCATGACTCAACAAACATGTTGTATTTCTGGTTACCTGAAAAGTGATACTTTTGGAGATGTGAGGCTTCCACCCGACGCCAGCCACATCACCTCAAAACGTCGTTTTGGTTCGAAATGCAGAGATGGCTTCGGCTGGCGTTGAGTGAAATACAGGGACTCCCTCCGGTCACCCCAAAAGTTTAAAGTCCTAAACTCTTTGCCTTAAAGACAAAGCTGTGAAGTAGCAGTTTTTTCCCAAAATAACAAATAGACAAGATGTAATTGCTTAGGTGGATTTATTTTAGTGAGTTGAATAAATTCAAGTTAGTGGCCCTCGCATCCTTTAATTTTTTCGGTATGTTGCCTTTAGGGAGGTTAAGTTGGGACAAATCACATGTTGGGATTTCATTTTAAACGGTCTTACTATGACACCAATTTAAATGCACTCTCTTGGGCGTTCAAGGTTCATTTTAAATGCCCGGTACAATTAATGGTACATTTGCTAAATATTCTGAAGGCAGCAACACCACCAACAAAACGGTCAGAAGAGTTGCACTGATAAGAAGATGAATGTCGCCATTTTCCACGAATGTTTTCTTGTTGAACAGCCAACAATCACTTCAGTTCTTCCGATGGCATCGTACAGGCAAAAAGGGTGCTTTGAAGCATTTCATCTGAAATGTGGTGGTACCGGGCATTCAAATAAATGCAAAACTCAAGAATACAAGGCGGTCACGTCCTTTTTTTCCCACGACTATGTATTATAATGCGGTCGGGGAACGTGAGCTACAGCATGGGGAGTGGAAAGAGACTCCAGCAAGTCAGCTGTCCAGCTACAAAACCAGGCTCAGTCCCACCGACTCAAGTAGCACCATGTGCTCCTAAATTGCTCGAAAAAGCACCTAGTGTAAGCAGAAGGGAAACGAAACGAGCAAGTGAGGCTCCGAGCGCCCTGCTAAGTAGGTGGATTTAGGCCCCATGACGTCACGGCGTCTGCTGCACATTGTGTCAAAGGAGTTGTTGCGTGCATATGAAGGTGCGCGACCGAACGACGTGACGGCGTCGCCATCCATCCATCACACGAATGCCCCCCACTTGGTTCACTGCAGTTTGCAGTGGGCGCAAGGCTACGCCATGTTGGGACTTCCCAAGCACATTATGTAATCCGCCTTTTAGCACACAAACACCGACAACGAAACGCGCGTCGCGTTCCATTCGTGACCCACAAGCATCCAAAATGTCTTGGTGGTGTTGACGCAACGGGCGCAGGCACGTTGGCGCCAGTCGCCAACAACAAAAAGAAATGTCACCAAGGCGGCTCGCGTTAACTCCGCTGCTGCTGTAACAAACGCGAGTAGGAGCCCGAAAGCGACCGCAAGGCCACCGTGAGCGTCGCAACGACGAGATCACACATAACGTTCAATTGCCCGCTCGCCAGCGGTGCCGGGGCGAGCAGGCAGGCAGGCAGGCACGCCTCATTACGCAAGGCAACATTTGGCCACCTGGTCCCAGAACGACGCTGAACGCGCGGCCCGCACGGCGAGGCGCTCGCCTGCTCGTTTGTCTGCTCGCTCGCTCGCGGTGGCCCGCGCGGAAGCGGCGAAGGCGCGGACAAGTTGGGAGCAGGAAGACGACGCTAGCTGCGGCTAACAAAGGAAAAGGAGGAACCTACCACGTGACGAGCTCGCACTATCCGAGGGAATTCGCCCAACAATTGCCTGCACTCCGCTCGGAGGGTGGGTGGGGAGGGGAGGAAGGGGGGAACAAGGGCAAGGGGGGAAAAAGGCTGCTGGAATCGACCTCTAGGCCATCAATTTGGCCCCAAAACGTAACCGGGGGCCCGCCCGACGGGGGCCACTCGGCTTCGTTCCGGACCGAGGCAATGGACGAATCAACGATCTCCACCTTGCTCGCTCGCAAACTCTCAACCTCGCTCGCCTTCCTTCTTTACCGATTTCAGCACAAGGCCGTCGAACGAGTCCTCCCGGGCCGCGAGGCGGTCAAGTGAAGAGCCTCTCCGGCCGAGCCTGGGCCAGATTCTCGCTTTGAGACGAGCCAGAAGAGCTCCGGGCGGCCGCTGAACGCTCGTTTTTTTCTCGGCTTTTGGGGAGAGACGCTGATAAAATGGCGGCTAGCTGTTCGCTCGGCTTTGAGCTGACAAACACACGAGCGCCGCACTGCGCGTGCGCACAAGAAACGCTGCCAGGAGGCGGCAAGGCAAGGCGGCCCCCGGCAGTACCACCGTTCACCGCCAGGGGCGAGCGCACCAAACAAACAACAACAATGAACGACATAAAGGCTTTACACGTCACATTTGCGGCGCAGCACCAAAAATACGTACTTAATCCGCGTTACTTAGTTACTGTACTCACGGTATGCCTACTTGAGGGTGGAGCTTTTGGCTTTACTTTCCTTTTCACAAAAACGCATTTTTTTACTTTGATGGTACCTACACTGCAGTCTTTTTTTGGGGGGGAAAGATTTTGACTTTTACTCCATTTAGTTTCTGACTATATTTCAGAGTAACTTGCTTTCTCTCTCTCCAATGACAAAAACAGCTGTGTAATTTGTACTCCTTGCTTTGTTTTTCAACATCCGACAAAGTAAGATCTCGACTGAGCGCCTGAGTGACATCTGTACGACTGCAAAACAAAAAAAATGGGGAGGGCGAACACCCATCACGCAGAGAGCATTCCCCACGCTCCTCAAAACACAAGGACATGAAGAAAATGGTGTACCTTCAAATCCATGCTTATGGACTGGGCGTCGTCTGTTAAGTCTTCCCAAGCGTCACGTTAGTCGACAAGCGCCTGCAGGGCACCTGAAGTGATAGGAATGTAAATTCAATCATTTGCAATCACTAAGTGGCTAGCTGTCATATGGTCCTGTCCATCCTGTCACTTAGCTTCCTCTGGACTGGTTGCCAGGCAAAATCAGGGCACATAGAGACTAAAAATTATTGGTCACCAATTAATCACAGCCTGCGTGAAAACTAACTATTGACTGCACATTTGGAGAATCACCAGACTGGTTGCCAGTACGCATTATAACAAACAAGGGATTGGTCGCCTGTTAATCACAGGGCACAGCTCGAGTAGAAAATATTTAACTGGTCGCCATCCAATGTCATGGCACGCCAAGTCCGGACAGGGATGCCTGTTGGAGAGACTCGAACCCAGACCGTGCCGCCTGCGAGCCAGCCGACGCTCACGCAGTTGAAAAAGTTGTCGGCGCGCCCCTGCATGCCAACGTTGAGTGGCGACAAGTTGCCAGCAGGACTTTTCATTTTGGTTTTGTTTGTATGCGTGTGCGTGTGGCTGACGGGCATGACTGGTCGCCGCCAGCTGTTTTGGGGGTCAAGTTTGATTACTGTTGAAGAGTTGAGCAGTGAAGCTAATGGTAACCACGTAGCCTGAGCGACAGCAGGCTAAGCTAAGCTAAGCGAAACTAAGCCTCCGTTACTTGTGCAGCATTACTTCTGATTGAAAAGTGAGCGAAAAAGGTCCGCCTGTTTCCGAGCGGACATTTCAAGTTGAGAGCAAATAGCTCTTGTGGTGGTGACAAGTGTGGCGTTTGTTGATTTGCAGAAAATAAGAAGTCAAAAGTGTTACTTACCTGCTTGCCCGTACTGTTACTAAGCGTTTAGGAGCGCCTAACAAGCCTCCGCTTTCCTATTGGTCAGTGACAATATTTCAGAGGTTCCTATTGGCTCGCGTGGCTGCCAATCTGTTCAAATGTCCCGTACAGCGGAAATACGGACCAAAGTGATAGCACGAAACAAAACCAGAAAACCAAAACAAAACACTTGCATTCACGTCAAATGTGTTCTGTAAAAACTTGGACGTGACGGATCCAAATAGGACCGTAAGGAGAATTATGAATGTGCTCTCGCTAAATGAGCCAGCTGCTCTCGTGTCACCAAGCGCGTTTTATCTTAAATTACTCGACACTTGACTGTAAACAACATCAACAAAGACTTCTCGTTCGGTTTGGGGGCCTATTATTCTTGTTATGTGTCAGAAGACAACACAGTAGCCAGCCTCGATGCCTTTACAAGAGTGCATGATCAGGGAGCAAAGGAACGCAACTCGACTGAGTAGAAGCTGCATACTAACATGTCACATTTGTTTTTCTGCATACTTGCATGATATCACATTTGATGTTCGCATATTGTTGACTTCCGCAAGGCTGCAATTGTTGTTGTTCCATCTATGAATGCACCACCCAGCAATTCTCCAGCAATCTTTTGTCCTCTGCTTAATATGGATGTGCAATAGTTCTATGACAGAAATGATAGAAGACAATAAAATAATTATATGTAAACGTGCCCCCAATATGGTACACATATTCATCACTTTAGAATCGCAAATAAGAAATGCTAACCCACCTGAAATTGCGAGCACTACTTCATGCAGCAGTCCGAGTCATCAAGTAGTAGTCACGATAAAATGCCACGAGATGGGGTTAGTGTACAACATTGAAAAAAAAGCAGCGAGCTGAGTCGGTGGGAAGCTGTAGTTGATGGCTGCCTTCGCCATGCCTTCACATGGGCCTCGTCGGAAATCCAATCTAGTAAAATTGACGCCACTTTTCTTGAATGATGTGGCCGCCGCACTGCTTTAATTGAATTCATTTCCCTATTTCCTGCTGACGTCGTCGGGCGACAGAGAGTACTGTTGACGTAACACGATGTACTCTCTAGCTTGCGGACTTTACCTGCAAAATATTTGCTTTAAACATGTTTTTGGGACTACTGTTTACAGCTGTCTGCAGTTTTTTGTGCCGGTGGGTGGACCAGGAGGTGGCAGCCTTTGTCAAAAGAGGCTCTGGAGTCTGGACTGGTGAGACCGCCACTGGGAGAAAGGTTGGCTTCGTTGTCGCTGTCGGTGTGGTGAAAAGTGCCTGCAGCTGAATCGGCTTGACCTCTAAAATGAAGTGGCTGGGTCCTCCCGGTGCCCCCCCCTCCCCCGGCCCCCCAAGTGGCCCCTGCAGGAGGTCACAGACTCCCCCCGCCTCTCCACAGGCTGACGACGACAGCGACAATTTTGGAACTAGCCCCCTACCCCCTATCACCACCACCACCATGCACTTGCCTTGATTACACTCCAGTGCAGCTCTCACCCAAAACCCCCTCCTGCACCGTGACAGCTAAAGAGGATCACAAGATGCTCCAAATGTGGACGCTGCCCTCAGGGGGGCTCTGGAGGCAAACGGCCGATGCTGTCATGCGCACGTGCATGCTTTGTGTTGCTTCCAGAAATAAAACAGGCAGGCCCATTTGTTTGGAGTCAATGCTACACACACTTTATTTGTCAGTAGGAAAATACGCAAGCTGGGGGGGATCGACATGAACAGATTTTTTTTTCATGCCATGCACGAAACTTGTAATTCGCACGTGTGCCACAAATCTCGGGATCCCGTGACTTCGGTTGGAATGATCAGCACAATCAGCAAGTCGCACCCGCATCCAGTAGGTGCTGTACAGGCCAAAAATCACATTTACCTGTCACGCACAAAAAATTCTCACGTTCGTCAAAAAATAGGCTCTCACATCACAACAATCCTCTCACACTAAACAGAACTGTGAGTTTTTGGGAGTCCGTGAAAGATTTTTGGGGTGTCAGTGTATGTCTGTAGTTTGTGTGTGTGTGAGGGTTGTTAATGCGTTTTTTTTTTGTTTTTTTTTGGAGGGGAGGGCGAGTTTTCGGGTGTGTCATAAATTGTAGGTGTAAGTGAGAGATTTTTTGGGCTTGTGAGCGCGAGTGACAAGTTTTGGGTGCGACGTGCGGGGAAAAAAACTGTCAAATAAATAATAAATACAACGAACAGCAGCTAATACACAAGACGCGTGTTGACACACGCGGAACAAAAACAGGAGGAAGTCAGCAACGTGTGGAAAGCCATCAGGGCTTTTATTCCATGACGCTTCTCCGTATTGACATTAGAGGTGCAACCATTAATTGATTAATCCACAACCATTTTGATCATCGTTCAGAGACCTTGTAGAACTTGAAAATCATTGAAATGTCAGCCTCTAAACAGTAAATATTCTCATATCTCTTTCTTTACTAATCTCACATTTTTGAGTAAAGGGAGGGAAATTTGTACAATCATTTTGAATGAAATCAATCTGATTCACAGCTTAATTGGACCCCCCCCCCCCCCCATGAAGCGACAGAAGCATTATTCAAATAATGGTTAGCTTCCGCCCTAAATAAAATGCTCAAACGGCTTTCCAGAGCAGCCGGCGAGGTGGGAATGTGAAGACCGAACGCCAAGGGGGATATCAAAGCATCTTATTTACATGGAGGCTCCCGACTGGCCGACCAAAAATTTTCATTCATTCATTCCAGGGAAGGAAAAGTACATGACAAAGAACGTGTATTCTTACTCTTCTTCTTCTGATGATGATGATCTCTCATTTTCATTTTGAACACACAAAGTAACACACCCACTCGTTTGCCAACGCCACCGTGTGCTCCCAAACGAACGTCGTGCAGGTGTCCAAGGCGATTTAAAAAGACTTTGGAAGAAAGTGCGGAATGTGTCAAAAGTTTGCGGAAAGACGATGAAGGTGACGTGAAACGGCGAGCGCGGGCGGCCGTCACCACGAGTCACGGTGGCAAGACGACGGACGAGAAACTTGCGGTACATACGCGCTCGCGTTCCAATCCCAAGCGCCCGCAACCTTGCGCCCCGATAATGCTTGGTGTTGATTTGAGTTCATCGACTTTTCACAGCGACGTGGACTGCTTGATGCTGTGGAAGCTGACCCGCGACGGCGACGTGGGGATGGACACGGCCTGCGTCATCCTCGCCCGGATGGAGTGTTGCTCCTGCCAGCGGTGGAAACGCTTCCTGGCGGCCGAACGCACCTAAAGAACAGCAACACGCGCGCAAACACATTACACACACATACAACACACACACAGAACAGAAACACACATCCAACATATACGCACCACACACGCACACACTTCAATTCACGCACGCTCGGACACATATAGGTGACAAGTTGTCACTTTAGTTGTGTTGTGCTGTGCTGGCATTCATGCGCGTGTGCTCTGTGGGAGGCATACGGTCTCCACGGCGACCAGATGCCATCCATGCCGTCGTAGGGACGGCACTTCAAATTCGTCCTCCCAGCGCGTGTCCTTAAATCAAATCCCCGTGCCCTGCGCCAGGTGACATTTTGCTGTCGTGTGCGCAAACGCGCCGGGAGCGACCCGACCACGGCGATGACCGAAGACGACCCCGCGCTCCTCGTCATTTCCTACGACCACACGGATGACGGATGAGGACCAGGACCAGACATTGGATTTTGTCCGCCTCGTTGATTGTGCAAACACGCAATCGATATCCAGCGGGCGCAAGCAATCAAGCGCCTTCCTGCTAGCAGATGTCCGTTGCCGCTTTTCATCTTGGCGGCCGGCTGTCGCCATGGAGACCGCAGCCTGGCACTGGCACTGTCAACACGCCGCCTTGCCTGTGTGTGTGGTTATGTGGCCTGTGTGCATGTGCTGTGTGTGTGTGTGTGTATTCCTCTACATGGTTTCGAGTTTGTGTGCTTTGGGTGATGTCAGCATGTTGCATGCGTGTATGTGGATGTATGTCACACGTGTTTATGTATACACGCGTGAATGATGTGTGTAGGTATGTGCCGTGTGCGTATGGGTGCTTGACACTCGCGACCACGTCCCGTGACACGTTTGCCAAGACAGCGACGTAGCGGTGCAGGAGCCGGTCGCCACGGTAACACGCCCGACAAGGTGGCAAAGCAGGTGGGGCCTAACTTACCTCGCTGTTCAGGAAGCAGTAAAAGACGGACACGAAGAAGCCCTGCGAGACGGATGCAGGAGGAGGGCAAAAGGTCAGCGGGCCGGACAGGAACGGTCGCGGGAAGGCGGGCGTGCCATTTGCGTACCTGGAAGGATTCCAGAAAGGAGTTGAAGTAAATGAAGACCAGCTGCGAGATCTCGTCCTCGCCGGGATTGACGAAGAAGAGCATGTAGGTGATGCCCAGAAGGGGGAGCAGCACCAGCGTCGCCTTCACCGCTTTCCTGCCAGGAGAAACGGGCACAGGGTGAGCGGCCGCCCTCCGCCCCGCACCCTTTGAGCGGTCTACCTGTACTGAATGGTCTCCGAGGTGGTGGATGCTCGCAGTTTGGTCATCAGGATCCTGACGATGTTGAACAGGAAGATGAAGTTGATCTGAAACCACATGTGCCCTTGATTGATATTTGATTGATTGACCCATCATGACATGATTGAGAGTCCCCAAAATTGTGACATCACCATTGAGGATCACGTTTGTGTTATAAGTATAGCTATGAGTTGGATTTCTTGGCCATGAATGGAACACTCATCCCAAAATCATCTTTTCCACATATGCGCCAGTGTACACGCGTGTCTTGTGCATTTGAAGGGCGCGCACGCCCGATGCCGTGATCACGTTTCTTTTGGGCTTTATTCGCCAGGTGCCACGGGGCTCTGGTGGCGTTTCTTCCCCTGCAAACATTCTGGTGGCAGATGGACACGCTGCAGGACTCAGCCGGGAGAGACACATCCAGAGTCCGGCCGGGCCCCGGTTGGACTGAGCTGACAAGATTTCGGGGACGGCAGATGCGCCCAGCAGGACACGCCGAGACACACGCGCGCACGTGCCAGATTGGGCTAGCGGTCCTTCCCGCCAAGGTGGGTCCACATGCGGCGTGTGGAGGGCGCCGGGAGCTTCCTGATTAATTGAAGACCACCGATTATCAGACGCACGTTGAAATGGGACGCCGTGCGACATTGTCGCAATGCGTCTTTCCCTTTAATTTTGGTTTGTTTTGATTCGATTGACTTTAGTTTCACACTGTGCTTTGTCTGGTTCACTCTGACGAAAAAAGATTCTCCCTGCGATAGTATTGCCAAATGGTTCTTTAGCTTGCACGTTTATTAGGGGGATCCACTTTGGAGTGGTATTTAGCAAGAGGATGGGATTTAAATGGTCTTTCAATAGATTGCAGCGATGGAGCTGCTGCAGCACAAAAACAAAAATCACATCCGCAGAGTCACCGAGCCCAAAGTCAAGTCAGGAGAGTGAAGTGCCAGACCGCCAGGTAGGGGACTTTTCACCAAAAGAATGCAAAAAGCAGCTCACCACCAGAACCAGAATCATGGGACCCTGGTAGATGTAATCCGTGTAGACGCCCGTCCGCTTCCCAAACCAGCACCTGTCGACGCCAGCAGACAGACATACGTCACCGGGGCAACCAACTACACTGTCAATGTTGGCCAAGGTACAATAAAATAAAACAAGTGTCACGGCTGTCCATTGTAAGATGTCGGTGTTGTGTGCATGCCTTAAAGAGGCGTGGCCTAGTGAGTGGAGTGATATCTGGGAAGTTACTGTCGAGTATGGCGCTGACATAACCTCAGCGGTGCCATGGAGGAATTCCCAAACGTTCCCAGTGGATGCGGAACGCCGCCTGCTTGGTCCCACGGGGAGCGTGCTAGTGTGCTAACGTGCTAATACTTTGTGCTGATGGCGGATGGGATGCTCGCTCCAAGGATGGCCTAGTTGGGAGGGGGTGGGCCTTGTGGAGTCACGGAGGGGGGTGCAAAGTCTTTGGAGTCGGGGAAGGGGTGTGTGGG